AGCAGGGCCAGGCAGGGCTCAAGGGACTCAGGGAGGCAGGCGGGGCATTGATCCAGGGGACTGGGGGAGCAGGCAGAGGTCCCCCCCATGGTCTCCTCCCCACTCCTCCAGGCCCGCTACCCCCCTACGTACGGGCACTGGAGCCCAGGGCCAGCTCCCTGCACAGGTAGGCAGCGTGCTTCAGCACCAGGGCGAGGGCCAGCCATAGAGACGCTCTAGCTGCTACCTGTGTCTGTGGAGGACCCAGCATCTGGTTGCCTCAGGGCACAGCCCAGGACTGTGCCTTGCCCCACTTTTTTCCATTGCTTTTTTTTTTGACCCCCGGATATCCAGGAATCTAAATTTTGCCCCGGCGCTGCAAATTTGTAGCGCGGGGACTATTTTCTCATTCCTGCATGTGCCTCTTACAGCCTCTCGAAGGGCTTCGAGAGGCTGCAAGATGCACATGCGCGCTTGTCTGGACATGCCCTTTAAGGCCCAGGTGGCCTCAGGTATCTACCACAAAGACCAAGACGAACGCAAGTCGCATTCAGATTGTTCTGGGTAAGAGCGAACTTGCGCGAACTGGCATACAAAAGGAATTGGAGAAAGTGGTAAAATAATAGCTTCCTTACTTGAAGGTATCTGATTGCCTATGATCCTAAGTGGTTTAACAAGCATGTGGCTTGCCTAGATGGAGCTTTTGTCAGACTTGTCCAACTTCTAAGCCCCTTGGATGCTGCACGCCCCAAGAGCCACATCAGGTGAGTGGGGGAGTCCCCACTGCTACTCTGTGCACCCACATGAGCATCACCACCCCAACCACTGCACTGGGCACCCCTCCCCCTCTTGCTACATTGCATGGGCACAATTTCCCCATCACAGGCACTGCCTCACCACTACCCCACCCAATGCAGACATGATTTCCCCCTCTCTGCATAGGCCAGACATGCCCTCATCCCCCCCTGCTGCACCACACTGTCCTGCCTTGCCTCCTGGGGTGGGGGCAGGGATCAGCAGCCAGTGTAAAGAGGGAAAGCCTGGAAACTCCTGCTGCTATTACAGCTGGAGCCTTTAAGGGGGGGGCAGGAGGGGACAGGAGGGGAGAAGGGGAGGAGAGCAGCAGCTGGGCAAGAACTTGGGGCTGCAAATTAACCCCTCAGGGAGCCACATGTGGCCCAAGGGCCACCAACTGGACTGCCCTGCTTTAGTGGTAATAGTACTAACAATTTTGCTTAACTTGCCCAATGTAAAAGTGAACCAAGACACTATAATACAAATGTCATATAGCTGTTTGTTCTAACAATTGCTTAGAAGTACCTGAGCAAGCCTGAAGAGAAAATTAACTTCAAATACTAACAAGAAACACAGCTTTATATAAGACTTATCAAATAAAAGAATGCCTGTTCTTTTTAGAACCTCTGTTCCTTTTTGGAACTTGAACTTCTCTTAGAGGAAGACTATTGTGATTATTAATATGATTGTTCAAAAGGAGCTCAAGAGGAGCTCAAGTCTATTTTTATTCTCCATGAAAGAAATGGGGAAAGGAAGAAACCAGAATTAATGCAATGTGACCTAGAAGTAACGTTTGAATTCTGAACTGTAAAATATTTTCTTTTGAGAGGCCTGGGATGTCTACCTTGGCTTGGTGTCAGTCTTGAGATTGTTAAAGAAAAGTAAGCTCTGCCTCCACTCTGTACACCTGGAGATGTGGTACTACTCCTCCCTCCCCCATCCCAAACATACAGACACTCCTGCTATCAAGAACTGAGAAGAGTTTGAGGAGGCACCCCCACATTTTTCGGTTTGGAGAGTGGAAAGCAATAGTTGAAAGTGGGGGTGGGGTGTTCACGCTCATGTTAAATGCCAAAAGAGGGGCAAGCAGCATGGAGCCAGTATATGAAAACCCTTGTGTTCAAGGGCCTAATTTAATACAACTATTAGAATGTTAAATGCACTTGAGGTATAAAATTCCCAAACCTGTGCAACAAACTGGCCAGGCACTTTTGATAAAAGATTCACTGACTGCAGAAAGGAAAGCTATTACCTTTACAGTAACTGAAATAAAGAGTGTTTTTATGTAGACTTTCCAACTCCTGTCCCATGGGCAGTTTCACTGCACATCACCACAGACCACTCCAAAGATATGCCTGCTCTAGTAGTTCGGTGAGGCAACAGATAAAACTGAACTGAATATTTTCTACTTTAGCAATTTCAAGGAAGAGAGTTTACTAAAAATATGTATCTTTATTCAAATAAGGTTATCATCTTGAATTCCAGCTATCAAATTACATTAGAAACAAACATAAGGAAAGTTTCAACCATTTAAAATTTTAGAACAATTGATGGACAGCCTTTTTGGTGTTACAGTAATTGAGATGTGAACAACTTCAATTCTCTCAACAGGGAACAATAAATTGAAGAAGTTTGTACACAACAACTATTCATTTTGTTTAGAGGACTCAGATATAACCATTTATTTACTGAACATCATACCACATGCTGGAATTTTCATATGGCCAAATTTTAATATTAAATTTGCTACCTATCATCCAGAGCTCTCTGTTAAAATTCAGACTAGACTATTTTACCCCTCATAGTGTTAACCTGGTTCAAGTTTCTTTCTCCCAATAAACCTCAATTGCTTGTTTGAAAAACCAATATGTGTTTGAACTTACCCTGTTAACATAATTAGCAGCAGGAAGGAAATACTGTTTTAGCTGATAAAAATATTCTGACTGAAAAATTAAAATTATGGTAAGAACAAGAACAGCAAGGCCAAGTTATCATGAAGATGGTTTTTAGTTTTCCTACCATCCAGCAAATGGCAGGGATAATTCTTGTTTTGATGAAAGACAACATATATCTTGTCCTGGAAGTTATGTTTTCACCCTTCTTCTGAGCCCACTAAAATCAAGGGCAAGTTAATCACTGGTCTACATCAGCTCCATCCAACCAGCAAACAAACACTTTATTTGAACGGTACACTGTAAACATAATTTTAAGTTGCAGCTTGTTCAACACAAGATACAATACCGCTGGTTACCTTCAACATTTTCATTTTCAAACTGAACAATAAGTCATAGCTGGAGAGATTCACAGTGTCAAGGAATAAGCACATTAATTAGAGGAAGTCTTAAAGAGCTATTTATCACCAAGCCAAATATATCCTGAAAAGAAGTGCATATGAGGTCTATTCCTTCTGCGTAAGAGTGCTACAAAGTCTACCATTAGAGTAGGAGTTTTGTTGTATTTAGCACTGGTGGTGAGAAGCTTAAAGCTTAGGGTGAAAGAAGCAATGCTGTGCATTTTAGTCACCTTTTGAACCATTTCTTTTACAATAACTTAGATCAATGAAAAAGGGTCAATATTGTAATAGTCTAGCCCAAGGCACCTGTAGATGCTTGCTGGTGAGAGATGCGAGCAGTTTAATAACCGTGCTGTGTAATTCCGACTCAGTGAAAGGGTTCCATCATTGGACTTGTACCTTTTTATCCAGCAAGATTAGTTTGAGCCAGTACTTTTTGCTTAGTGCAGCTTATTGCAGCACAGCTTACAGCTGTAGCAAACATAGCCTTCTTATAATTTAGCAATAAATTTATTAAGCTATACCATTTACAAAAAGTTGGTCACATCATAGCCATATAAATATGTATGGAGGGAATCACATTTTGTTGGTATAGCAGATTTCTATATTACTATACAGTTTAAGAAAAAAAAGTATATTGCATAGATTTATTGTCCCTCCAAATTATCAGGCACAATATTAACAAATTTTTTGTAACACTGAACTTGGCAGCATATGTTGTCTCTTTCAACTGAGTTAAAAGTTGTACAGAATTTAAAATGTACACAATTTTTTTCAGGTATAAAGAGATAAACTGATTGTGTAATTAAAAACATTAAACATTCAGTTTTCATCATGTGATTTACAATTTAAGAATTATATCTGAACTCTACAGAGAGCTACTCAAGGACAGATTGCTATGGATATGTAAACAAGGCAGACTGAATCTGTTTTTATTCCTAATTTTAAATATTTGCTCCATTTCCATCCTGGAGCAAAAGCTCACATGATAACAATATTGAAGAGTGTTCAAACGCATAAGACCGAACACTTAAACAGTGAACTCTCACAATGCTTGCATGAGTAAGAACTGCTGAATTAACAACAGAACACATCTGAGGCAACAGCTTCTGAAAAAAATACTTAAAACACATACATAATACTCCTAGTTTTGAATACCTGTGTAGAATATTGACTAAAGTATCTGCTATGATATTTCTGTTGATTCATGAAAGACAACAGCCTTATCAAAAAAATAAAGGAGCATTCCCCACCTAAATATGCCATTATGTCAACTGGATTTTTGAGGCACAAGCAATATAATCTTTGTTGAAAGGAGATTCTATGACACACTAAACAAAACCATAAAAAGACTTGGGCTTAAAAACATACTGATCCCACAAAACATGCTTCACAAATACTACCAGGCAACTGGAAAATCCCATCTTCCCCAACAGCCTCAAAACAAGAACAAAAAAAGTCTGGAAAACAAACAAAAAAGCCCTAGAAAGAAACCCCCTACCACCCACAAACCATTCCTAAAACCAAAATGACAAGCCTTTGTTGGCTTCCTCCATACAGAGAGCTTTTGTTTTATACTCAAGAAGATGCTAGTCGGGCTGTTATTAAAATACCTTTATCTTTCATCATACACATATTATAAAAATTGTTTGCAGAAACTTATTATTGCAGAAACAAGTCACTGAATCATAGCCAAAGTGACAAATCCAAATAGAAAAATGAAACACTTTTTCATGCTTCTCCCCCCGACACCAAAATGGAATACTGAGGAAAGCGGCAGTTCATTAAAAAAACCCCAAAAACATGAATCTGATATGTGGCGATTTAGTGGTATTTTTTTTGTGAATCCTTGTGTGTCCAATGTTCATCAACAGCAACCGAACCCAAGTACCCCAATTCTTTATCTTGAGAAACTGTTGGCAAAACAATAGGAGTATCATGCAGTATCTATTAGAAACTTAATTAAAAAGAAAAAGTAGGATGGGCCCACAAGTTTTCCTTTTATTTGCCCCACAGCTTTCAGGTCTGTTTTTAAACCATTGTATTAACAGCTTAACTTGAATTCACTTTGTATAACAAAAATTCAATAATTTACAATAATGAAGTATTTTTAAACACTAAAATTTCCCTCATTTACAGACTTGGGTGATGTTCTGTGCATACATACAGCAGGATTGTACACACAAAATGAACAAGTCATCAAAAGAACTTTTTGGCTGCTGCTTCTTGCTGGGTCCTAAAAAAATAAAAACAGGGAAGAATACATTAACTTAAATACATACAGTTACTTTAGAAAGCTAATCAAATTAGCAACCTCTCTCTTTCCAGTATAGATCACTGAAAAAGCAGCTGTTTTTATACCTAGGAAACCTAATAAATACCATTTCAGAGCTTCACAAACTTGAAAGTATAAACATACTCTAATTTGGATATCACAGAAACCGATCAACTATCCATATACAATGGCACCAGGAGTTTTATAAAAAAACTTTTTTACAATGGTATTTGCTTTTTCTTTTCATCAACCATATAGATATATCAACAGACAGGGATGCTGAAGATGAACAGAGAATGGAAAGGCTAACAGTTAAGAGGGTGGAAAAGAGAGGTCTGCCACTTCTCAGTTCTTCCTAATCTCCATGTACAACTGGGAAGTCATCTTCCCAAAAGCCATCCTTATGAAAAAGCCCTCTTCCCTTTGAGAGGGTGCAGATACAGAACAAACGTTAATGCTCTTAGCAGTGGTGTTAACTACCAGATTGATGTGACTCATCATCCCATGAAAGTATGCAAATACACACACACACACACACCACAGTACTCTTCACCTTTTTCTGCAGCTCTTTTTTCTGTTCTCCTCACAGTTGGGGGTAGGGTACAGATCCTTATATCTTCAAATAAGATTTCCTCCAATGAAGCTTTCTTTACAGCATTGGAAGTGTACCCCCATGGGATTAGTTATTCATGAAATCAGAAATTTCAGCCCCCTCCCCCAACTTTTTAAAACCCACTCAGGCCCATCTGCCACACACAAGATTCCAAGACCAAATTAAGAAGTTCTAAATATTGGCAAAAATGCTTCAGTTAAAAGACAAATTTTAAAGAGGCATTCACCTGCAGTATTTGAATTCAACAACATGGTAAGTATTGGTGAGCACAGTGCAATAGGAAAGCAGACTAAGCAATTTTAATTTGTTAGCCTGCTTAAATAAGAGTGCGCATCTACACACAGTAATTTTTTTTTTTTTACATCTCAGATCATCGTAAAGAAAAATTGTTTTAAAACACAATTAATTACCATTCCACTTTAGTTAGGCCCCCTCGACATGTTATAGGTACTGCACAATTAACTGGTTAACTGCAGAATTATCTTAAGACCACCAACACATGCAAAGTACTTATCACGTGATTAAAAGCTCCAACCTGCTATAGTCATACTTCAAAGATGTGTATTAATTTTATGGCTGGTTGCTAGCGAGCTTTAATTTGCAAGTGTAGCAGGATCTCCTCTGCAGCTGGGAGCCCCGTCAGCTGATACAGCTCCCAGCTGCAGGGGTACACCATGCTCAGTGTGGGTTTCATGTGCTCCCAGACTCTAGGGATCATAGCAGCTGCAATCCCCCAGCGTCTGAGAGTTTCATGCACCCCTGGGAGATGACTGCTACTGTTATCCCACGGCTCGGGGGGTGGGGGGGCATGGACTGCCCCCACAACTCAGAGCACCTCAACTGAGGAAGATCCCATCCATGGGAGCTTGCTTCTTGCTGGTGCAAGGGATCCTGGAATTGGGTTCCCCTTGCACTGGCAATAAGGTGCTATGGGATCTGATGCATGATCCCACAATCACACCTCCTGCCATGCACATGCAGCACAGCAGAAAGCATAATTGTGTGGATCACACATTAGATGCCATCAGCCCTTTACCTGCATGTGTAGAGGAGGCCATAGAGATTCCAACTGTAAGAACAGTTAGGCCCCTGACACACATTACACTTAAGATGCGATGAACAGGTTAATTGCACCTGAGTGTCAGGATCCAGCATGGGGCAGCACCAGGGTCTGGGACAAAGCTGTTCCAGCAGCTCGATCCTAGGGTCCCCATGTGCCAGGAACATTAAAACCCCATGTGCTGCCCAGTTGGATGGCGCACAGGATTTTAACTCTGCCCTGGACCCTGGGTTTGGATTCCCAGCTGTAGCAGCCCAATCCCAGAGTCCCTGTGTGCCCAGATCTGTAAAAACCTTAGCTGGGGTTTAATAATCAGCTGATCGTCAGCAAGGGACAGGGACCTGACTGGGGCTAGTTTAAGATCCTGCTTCAGTCCCTGGCCTCAAATGACTATCAGCTGATTGTCTGCACCTGGGTTTCAACTTGCTGGTACAGGGAGAGCTCTTATAGTGATAAAGAAGGTGTGATAGGGATCTAATGTCTTATCCCAAAAATCATACCTCCTGCCACGTGTTTGACACGGAAGAAATTATGATTGGGATCATGGCTTAGATCTCATGGCACCTGAAACTGAACATCTGCCAGAGGCCTTAAAAGACATTTACCCAACTTTATAAAAACTTTTTACTTACCTATACATGATATAACCGATGAACAACACTGTTTGTACTGCTACGAATATAAAGAAGTGCGTTGTAGATAAACATGATGGAAATGGTGGCAATTCTGGACACTTAGGTTTCTCGTTTGAAGGCTAGAAAGCAAAATATATTTGTTAAGATTGTGATGATTCAATTAGCACCTTTGCTTTTCTAAGACTAATACTCTGAAAATACCCATGACACTGCAGAATTGTAAATCTATGATAACAGAAAGAATAAGGAAGAGAAGGCAAGTCACTGAAATGGCAAGTCATGATAGAACTTGTTTTACTATATTTTTAACTTGATGTATTTTAGCTAAACAGATTGATGTTTCTTGGAGTGAAGAGATAAGTGTTTGGTAAAGTGCTTAAGAACAGAATGGTTTCTGCGCGTATCAAAAGCCATTTGAGTTCAAACTGTTATGAAGGTGTCTTGAACTAATAAGGCTAGACTTATCAGCCTTGTAGAGACTGACCAAAATGGTAATGAGACTGGTGACTATCCAAGTGATAATTCTTCCGATTACCATAGGAAAATACAGTCGGGAAGTGGTAAAATGTGTAATGTATACACACACAAGACTACTGTTGGCACATACCCCACCAGGAAGAGGGGCAGTGCGACTGCTGCAGAGAGGATGACTGCATACACGGTGTAGTCAATTTATAAACTTGTCCGCAAAAAAAATAAAAAAATACAGCAGTTCTTAACAATCAGGCTTAGCTGAACTAAAATACTGACCTCATGTTTCAATGTGGGGAGGTTGGAAGGCCAAAAAACATAAATAAAAGTTTCATGTGTGTGTGTGTGTTCGCGCGTGTGGACAGATCAAGATCAGCATCTGTGAATCTAGGACTTCTTAATAGGGGATTTTTTTTAAACAGACCAACTACAGACAATTACTGTAGGTCATTCTTTAGAGAATTTGAAAAAAAAATCCTACTGCTATCTAAAGATTTACTATCTACAGACTCACAAATCTTATTAACATTTTGGTCAGATTCTACAGTGCTTACTACAGCTGTGTGAAGCTTCGGTCACCAATTCGATTTGGAAATTTGGCCTGATTCGGTGGCCAAATCTCCGAATCAAATCAGGAGACCCTTTAATCTCTCTGAATCAAACTGGAACCCTCCGAATCGATTTGGAGAGATTCAATGATTCGGCCAGACACAGCTTTATATATGTTTTTCTACATACCTCCTCAAGGTACCAGGTGCAGCTCATGAACATTGAGATGGTGGGGCGGATGGAGCGTCCCATCGGAGCACAGAGGAGGGTGTCCCCCGCGCGCTTGGCGGTGGACCCGGAAGTGGACCAGAAGTACTTCCAGTCCACCATGGAGCACATGGGGGGACCCCCCACCCCCCCCCAGCTCAGTGTCTGATGCCTCCTGGCTTTGGGGGGGCACCCAGGGTCCCCCCACAGCCAATTAATGAGCTGGAGGGTTGCGGAGGGAGGGAGGGGTCCTCAGTGTGCTTGGCGGTAGACCCTCCCATGCTCCTGTGGGGCACTCCATCTGCCTCAGCATCTCTGCATTCACGAACTGTGCCTGTTACCTCGAGGCACATCAAAAAAAAAACAACACAGAAAGCTGTGTCTATGACTAAATTGCTGATTCTCCAAATCAGAATTGAATATTCAGATTTGGCCAAATCAAATTGAGACAGTGATCCAAATGAGGGAATCGAATCACTGTCCCCCAAACTGGGCTGAATCTGAATCGAATACTGCCCACTTCACACATACCTAGTGCTTACATACAATTCCACACCAAGAACCATGTACACTCAAGTGGAAAGTAATACATTTAGTTGGCTATTTACATGAGCAAGTACCAGATTTACATGTCGCACTACATGGGATTTCAAATCAGTTTTAAAAAAAGAAAGAGTCATGCCCTTTGTACCCAACTTTTCAAAACACTTAATTATTCCAAATACTGTTCCATCTTGATTTAACTGAATGAGAGGTCTTTAGGAAACTGCTTAATGAAGGATTAATTGTCCAGTGAATTGCATGATAGCCTGCCCCAGCATCTCACATATAGCCATATGCTACATTATTGAAACCAGGCTATGTACTAGCAGTATAAGAGTTACCATATTTCGCTGTACTAAATGCTCAATGTCCCTCTTTACTACATGAAGATGTTCTTTGATATCATTGAAGTGCTGGGTTGTTTCATAGGCTCCCGCTGCAGCCCCTGGGTGCTGAATGCCACTGACTAACCGAAGAGTATCTCCCATGGAACTCCTAAAAGAAAACAGAACATCCCCTTCAGCAAAGAACAGTTTCTTATAGCCACAGCATGTGCATCACAAAGAATTTTTAGTTTATTCAAACTAGTTTCAATCTCCTATTTTCTTGCTAAGGAAAAATTTTATTTTCTTTCTCCTATTTTCTTCCTTTCACCTTTCATGAATACTTATGACAGAACACTTACCTTTTCAAAGTATCCATTTATAAGATTCCCTTCTGCACAAGAATCCCAGTTTTGTAGGATGCAATTTGTCCCAAATCTATACTGATAGCAAAATGTAGTGATATTCTATTTCAAGGCATCTGCTATGGCTTATTCCTTAATGAAGTGTTTTGAATCGCTAGTGCTATTCAAGGCTTTAGGATAAAAATATCATATAATGTAATCTTTCCATAAAACTGCTCCAAAAAATATAATAGAGTCATGTAAGAAATAAAGAGGAGGCTTTAGGGATAAGGAAAGATTTAAGACCATCCATGTTCCATGATTACCTTTTACATGAGAATCTCATTTCCCATATGCACTGCTGTTATACTTAACATTGCCTTCACATGAATTCATTCTGTTGTTACAACAAATCAAATTAAATCCATAGAAAAGCTGAAACTGCATAACTAGTATTGAGAGCTAAACTAAACTAAATCAATGAAGGCAAGATTGTGCACTACTTAATCAATATGTTATTATATAAATTTTTCTTTACTCTGACATCTCTTTTCAGTTGCAAAGAGGATTAAAGTCTTCAGCTAAGATATTTTATCATGTGAACATTAATCTCTTCATTATTTACAGAATAAACAATCAAAATTTGTGTCTTGAATTTCTTTTTAATTTACTTGTAACTTTGCTTTGTTCAGACAAGAGGGTTTACCCACAGCTCCTTGAAGGTAAGTCCTAACCCTTTATCCAATGCTCAGTAAATCAACTTCTAAACCAATGTCACGTGAGTTTGAAGTAACTCACGGTGGTACTGTAGTTAACAGTGCATATACTGCATCAAAAATAGTCATATAAACAATTTTTATAAATTGTTTAGGAGTTCAAAATAAGATTACATTCACTGTGAAAGCCGCAAGACTGAAAGCAAAGCTCATATTCTGCCAGCAGTATTAGATACTTTACAATCTTAATGCTTAAGCTTTCCTTTAACCAAGACTTACAAATTAAATTTATGAAGACTATTAACCCCTATCTAAACTTTACATCAGTTTCTAGTCACGACACTTCAAGATGCAGAATTCCAGTAATAAAAAGACACACTGTGCAGGGAGAATCAGAATTCAAATGGGATAAGGAGCCAACAGCATATGTATTTAAAGGAT